GAAAAGAAAACTCTGGCTCGGCTTTTGCTCAGCAAAAAAGATTCATGATTTAGTGGACCAAAACGTTTTACCTCTTCATTTTAACTCTTTCACTTCTTCTGGCTTTGTCGCAGCGTTTCAACATGTAACAGGTGGAAGAGCACGTGTAAAACATAGAAACGAGACAAGCAAAGTAAAATTCGAAAATGCATGTGAAAGGGTGCACGAAACAAAAGAAAAAATAACCGAAATTATGTAAAACTGGGGCAAAGAGTCTGAGAAGACGAAGGGGTCGTCATGCAGCCGTCACATGATTTGGGAGAAAGCGCTAATTCTGTAAATTTGCTACGCAAAATGGCATGTTCCTAAGGATGCTATGTGTAAAAATACAGGAACCTGAAAGAGAATCAAACTGCATCCGACCATACCAGCTAGAACTTTGCTTCCCTTCGTGAACACATAACCTGTTATCCTGAAATGCAATGTGTTCTCGGGCTGGAACTGTATTATCGCTGAAAGCAGTTCAATGCAGCAAGAGATGTTCAGTATTTGTATCGGCAAAATTTCAAGGCATTTTTGAGAAATTACAAAATCTCGATTTGCTATACTGAGAAGGCATGGTTAATAAGCGTTCACACTATAGGCGGATCCAATTCAGCTTCACAATTAAGTCTCGTAGATACGACAGTTGTGGTGCTGATAAAATAAACCAAAAAAAAGGAAAAAACAAATTTATATATGTAAAAATGGATTCAAATTTTAAGAAAGCTCAGAAGGGGACAAATTTAAAAATAACAAAAAAAATATAAAAGAATCGCAAACAGGAATAAATTGGAATAATACCTAAAATTGATAGAAATAAGTAGGAATACTGCCGAATGATACCCTCTAAATCCTAAAAACCTTAAAAAATAAGAATACCTTAAAAAATAGGAATAATTCCAAACAATACTTTTAAAAAAAATTAAAAAATAAAGATACCTTAAAAAAGCAGGAATAATACCTTAAAAATAGGAAATAATACCAAATAATACCCTTAAAACCTTAAAAAATAAGAATACCTTAAAAAATAGGAATAATTCCAAACAATACCTTTAAAAAAAAAAAAAAACTTAAAAAATAGGGATATCTTAAAAAAGCAGGAATAATACCTTAAAAATAGGAGATAATACCAAATAATACCTTTAAAACCTTAAAAAATAAGGGTACTTTAAAAAATAGTGATAAAAACTTGAATGAATCGAAATAATACCTTCCTAGCCCCTCCGATTCCCGAAGTTGCAAATGTGCAGGTTATGCTGGCTGCTTCTACTATAAAAATACCGTCTGTAGGGTCCGTCCGAACAGTGTGCTTCCCCTTTTTGCAGGTCCAGCCAAGTGCCACCCCAGGACTACGGCACCAACCTTCGCGCAACTCTGAGCTCCGCGTACGAGGGAGTCAAAATTTTGGCGGGAAAATCGCTAACTCAGGAACCAGAAAAGCAAGAAAGCTGAAATTATGAGGTTATGTTGTCCGCCCATGATGCCAACTGAATTGAAAAAGGCATAAAAACTGACCATCCAGCCGAGGTTCCAATGCCAACCTGTACGGGTACCGGCTTCTCCGCAATACCCTTCAAATATACGAGCAACTTCAGGAAAATGTTCCTCGGCGAATCGGC